AGCAGCTGCAGCAGCAGCAGCAGCTGCAGCAGCGGCGCTACCTCAACCTCTACGAGTACCAGTCGATGCAGCTGCTGCAGCAGCACAACGTGGCCGTGCCGCGCTTCCGGGTTGCTTCGACGCCGGAGGAGGCGCAGTCTGCTGCTGCTGCGCTGCAGCAGGAGCTGCTGCAGCAGCAGCCGCAGCAGCAGCAGCAGCAGCCAGGACTTGTCGTCAAGGCCCAAGTCCTGGCCGGCGGCCGCGGCCTCGGCTACTTCAAAGAGAATGGCTACAAGGGGGGGGTGCAGCGCTGCAGCAGCCCGCAGCAAGTGTTTGCTGCAGCAGCAAATATGCTGCAGAAAACCCTCGTTACGAAGCAAACTGGAGCAGCAGGGAAAGTCTGCAACACAATTCTCATTTGTGAGGAGTTTAAGGCCAAGAGGGAGCTCTACTTGGCCATTATCCTCGACAGAAACACCGGGGTCCCCATGCTCATTGCCAGGTCTCTCGAGGGTTTAGGGTTTAGGGTTTAGGGTTTCGGGTTTGCGCGGCGGCGCGCGCCGCTCTAGGGTTTAGGGTTTACTGCGCGGCGCTGCTGCAGCAGCGGAGGACGCAGCTGCTGCGCCTGCGCCTGCGCTGGTAGCATCCAGTGCCTAGGGTTTAGGGCCTAGGGTTTAGGGTTTAGGGTTTATGGTTTAGGGTTTAGGGTTTGTGCGCAGCTCTCAAGGGGGTACCAGCATAGAAGACATAGCGCACTCGAACCCGCAGGCGATAAAGAAGATCCGGATGGGTTTTGACGAGGGTGGGTCATTTGGAGGGGAAAAGGAGTAAATAGAGGATAAAAGTGAATAAGATTAATAAATAATTTTAAAAATTAGTTAATTTAATTAATTAAATGGTATAAATGGCTGCTTTCCGCCGCTTCCTGCTGCAGCGCTCTCTGCGGACGCGCTGGAGGAGCTGCGCATACACCTGAATCTCAGCCCGTCCATGGGCCACCAACTAAAGTCTTTAATTTCTTCTTTGCACAATTTATTTATATCCCGAGACTGTTTATTAGTGGAAATAAACCCTTTAATCCTCACTGACACGCCCCCGCAGCAGCAGCAGCAGCAGCAGCAGCCGCAGCAGGAGCTGTGGGCAGCAGACGCGAAGCTGAGCGTTGACGACAACGCGAAGTACCGCCAGTTGGATTTGTTTGAGTCGGTTGCTGCTGAGGAGAAGGCGGCGCAGCAGAACTGCCCGGCAGCAGCAGCAGGAGGCGCAGCAGCAGCAGCAGCAGCGCTGGAAGCAGCAGCAGAGGAGCAGCAGCTGCAGTACGTGAAGCTGGGCGCAGGCGTGGGCTGCCTAGTCAACGGCGCGGGGCTCGCCATGGCCACCATGGACTTGCTGCAGCTGCGCGGAGGTGCAGCAGCAAACTTTCTGGACTTGGGAGGTGCTGCTGCTGCTCCTCAGATTGCTCTCGCGCTGCAGCTGCTGCGCTCAGATGCTGCAGCACCAGTTCTCTTCCTCAACATCTTCGCCGGCATTCTCAAGTGCGACGAGATCGCCAAGGGCCTCGTGCAGGCCGCCAGGGAGCACAAAATCCACAAACCCATCGTGGTCAGCTGCTGCTGCTGCTGCTGCTGCTGCTGCTGCTG